AAGCCAAAACACATTCTATTACATTCGTAAAATCCAAAGTTACCTACTGAGAAACCTGTTTTGTGTTTGTCCTGTTCCTCTATCTCCACCTGCCAGTATCCTGACCGCAAGTCTAATTTACTGAAGTACTTGGCACCACTCAGTGTATCAATGACATCGTCAAAGCGTGGTAGCATGTAACAATCTTTACGAGTCTTTGAATTCAAAACACGCATATCGATACAAAAGCGAAGAGAACCGTCTGTTTTTCTAACTAAGACAACATTAGAACTATAGTTACTGTGGGATTCTCTTATCACACCTGCCTCTAGCATTTCTTTGATATGCTGTCTCACTTCATCATACATACCAGGAGGTATTCTCCTGTAAGGTAACTTAAATGGAGTCTTATCTTCAAGTTTGATACTATGCTTGACCAAGTCTGTCTTCCCTAGATCCAATGGACCTCTGGAGAAAACATGACTATACCTTGTCAGTAATTGGTTCACAGTTTTAAACTGTGGTTCTGATAATGAAGTCCTATCTACTTTCACACCTAACTCTATAGGATTCACCTTATCTGACTGAGAGTTATTCCCCTTTAGGGTAGATACACTTTCAATAACTTTTGCTTCCTGTAGAGAACAAAGTATTGAATTGGGTCTCAGTGTAATAGGTTTAGCAGAAATATTGCACACCTTGACTTTGACTTTGGGTTTGACAATATTCTGTGACAAAGTGACAACTCTCGGACACACTGCATAACTGTCATTACTATGAGAATTCTCAGTCACTAAAGTAGAAATATTTCTGTCTACACCTCTTGCTATTCCATTGACAACAAGCGACTGATATGGTTCTATAGTTATGTTTTTCTTACTAGTTGTCTTGACACAATATGACTTGCACTGTGTACTGTCAATAGCCAATTGCCACGCATCAGGTAACTGACAGGACATATGCGAGTAATAATCTCTACAGATTCTCAAAATATTTGTTCCAACAATAACAGGACAGTGTCTGTTGAACTCTGTATCTGGTACTATCACGATTGGAACAAATAGTTTAATATCGAGTAACTTGATTGTACACTCAATGTAACCTTTGTACTGCAGAACTGAACCATCCGCTACAGATATTTGCAGTCCAAGGGTAGACAACTCTTTCAACTCTGGTTTGTCTATAAGATTGTTGTACTCTTTATCAGACAATGTTGTAATCATAGACCCACTGTCTAATAAAGCATTCATAGTCACACCCTGTAACACAATTTCTACTTCATTTGACTCACCAATCATGTCACATTTAATTTGTTGGCCATTACCTCTGAGTACACTGGTCTCTCCTCGGCCACTAGTAGAGACCACTAAAAGTTTGGGTCCTGCTTCTCTGCCCCTGAACTATGATACTGTCCCTTGGGCTTACCATATCCTCTATACTGACCTCTTTGCAGGTTTCCTCGACTTCCTCTGGAGGAGTCACTACTGTGAGAATTTCCCTTAAAATACTCACCTCTTCCTCGGTTAGTACTCTGTCTTCCTCTGAAGCTACCTCTCCCTCTACTATAATCTTGTCTAGAGTCAACTTTAGGTGCATCAAGTTTCATCAAAATCTGACTAAACTTATCCTCAATCTTACCCTCTAACTCTGTCTGTAAATTCTGAATTTTCTTGTTAATTCTTTCCTCAGCTTCACTTTCTACTGATATACCATGTTGATGTAACCTGGGATTTTTATCAACACCTTGACTCACCTTTTCTGAACTCTTTTTGTTGATCATAATTTCTTTCTCAACCCTTCTAATCTCAAGTAAAAGCTGATCATAGTTCTTAAGCGTATCGTACTTATGACGCGTTTGTGATTTTAACCGATCAGAACTCAACGAAGTCCAGAATTTATGACGGAGTAAATCATTCTTTGATGATTCATTCAAATAACCATTGTCAATTGCATTCTGTAACATGCTTTCTAATCTACACCCAAAAGATGTTGCACACTCACCCTGAAATTGATATGCATTAAAGAACTCTTGCATGATCATAGCATTATTTGACACTTCACCAAATAAAATATTTAGTTTGTCAAGTATTTCTTGTACACTAGCTTTTTCACCAAGAGGAATAAGCATGGTTTTAGCTGTACCCCTCAGAGATCTTCTGATACTCTGAATAATAACTGTCTCTTTTATTTCAGGATCATTCATAAGACACTGAACCTCATATCGCCACTCTCTATAAGTAACATCACCCTTTTGTGGGGGTTCATCACCAGAAAACTGGGGAATTCTAGGGATTTGAGAATGTGTTACCTCATAAAAATGGGATGTGTTCCCTTCTTGACTTAATTTAAAGGGATTGCTTTGAGGGGGTAAACCACTGAAACTCTTAAATTTAACCTCACCATAGGGGTCACCTTTACCAATGTCAGCTGGTACACTGGGAGGGGGTGGGAATTGATATGGTTCAGAAGTTTTAGCATTGGGGAACATTAATGGCTTTTGATCTTTACTTACAACAGGAGTACTTGTTTTTGGAACATCCGCCTCTGAAACACCTGCAAAGTCCAACTTACTTTCCTCATGCAATGAACCACCCTCTTCTTTAGCCTTATCAAGTAACTTCTTGAGTTTTTCAGACACCTTATCTGCCTTTTTAGACTCTTCAACCTTATCTGCCATTTTAGACTTTTCAACTTTCTACACAAGTCAAACAAACTTTCAATAACACTAAAGTTCAACTAATGGTCACTCAAATGTATCACTTACTAGTAATAAACTTGATAAAGTACAAGTAACCTGTAATCACCTGTTATATCAATTCATAAAAACGCAGCGCAGATATGCAATATGCAAATCTCATGAAAAATATCATTGGCAAGCACATACACACACTCAGACAAAGTAACACTCATGCACATCATCTGTCACTAAAGGTCAAAGTTGCCATGTCAGTGCAAAGGTTAGTAGCATGCAAGGGAAGTGCAAAGAAATGTTGACCTAATTTCTAATACAAGATTTTTTTAAACTAATTCCCGGTATAATCAATTTCCAAAAGTACACAAATAAATTTCAATTCCAAAACAGAAATGATAAACTTTACAATTTTTCAGAAAAAAAATCAAAACAAAATAAACAAATAACCTTACAAGTAAATAAATAGCAGGCCTGAATTTAAAAAAAATATTGCTTTTATAAACACCAAGAAAAAAAATAAAGTTCAAATGTTAAACAGAAATGAAAATAAAGAAATCGAAAAACAAAATTGATCGATCAGCTGTTTAAAGAATTTCCGGAAGCTTGTTCTGAATTTAGATCTAAAAATAAACTCGGGAATTCCCTATGCAAGAAGATGACAAAATGACAAAACAAATTCAATCTTTCACAGCACAAATACAGACACAAATACAACACAGGATAATCACATCATATAAGAACAGATAAGTAATCACTGAATTACACAGTACCTGAGGCCTCGTTGCTTAGTTCCGAGTTTCCTCGCGGATCAATGTGGTTCGTGCGGGTCACGTGGTTCGCCGCGCCTTTGGATCCGTGCGTATTCCCGCCATTCGTGAAACACTGAATTCGTCGTAAAGTTGACACACTTTTTCACTCTGTCGTTCCTTGGTAATAACGGAATATAAACGCACAGGCACAAACACACACAGAATCACCTCTTCATATGGGTTTCCATGGTATAGGTACTGGCGTGAAAATAGAAGTAACCGCTCCGGCTCGTCTCAGCCACGGTCCTCGTCTCAATAAGTCCGTCCCCCGGGGATTGAGATTCCAAGGAAATAAAGCTTTGGTGTGATGTCCCGGTTTATTAGAATTACGTGGGCGCCATTTGTAGCCAGTGGTAAAACATCAGAACTAACAATCTGGTTCAGGTTCAATATTATATTTATTAATGTTGAAATAAGACGTCAAAAACCTGAAATATTACAATTACACACAACATATAGACGACACATAGACAGACATTTAGACAGATAATTAAAACATAATAGACTTTACTTTAGAATAGATTCTTACCGGGACACACACAGGAATTACAAATATTACTATCTGTTATTGACTATAGAGTAGAGTACACATCTAACCAATTCAACGGCTAGGCTCAGAGTGCCCGATGTTAGTGCGTGAAAGCGGGAATTTGGTGAATAGGATAAAGTCATGTGACTGTCCGTCTAGTGTCTAAAAATAACAACAACCTCATTCACACAAAGTCTTTCACACCACATTCTCACATATACGCAGCGCAAGTATAGTAATTAAAGGCAGTAAATAATACATAACCCTGGTTACATACATACCAGTAAAACTGTTCAAGCTCCATTATTTTGTGTGTATTTTATTTTTCATGCTATAGATTTACATGATGCAAATAGTTTGTTTTCTATTTCAAATATTACCGCAAGTTTAATATTTATAACTCTTAAGATATCAACCAATCAGAAAAGGGCTTTCCCGGATTATGACGTTCTAACATAAACTTCCGGCCTCCCTTTTCCAAATTTTTACCGAGTCGGTAGCAGTAGACTGAGTATAAAGCGATATTTTAAAGATTAGAGAGGGTTTAATGTGGTTTGAGGTGGATTGCCCACAAGTGGAGGCATAGTTAAGGTAAGTACTCTAAGGAAAAGGTTGTATCTGTTTATTTTAAACATATTGTAGACTAAAAATCGAGGTGAGGTAGCTGACCTGAAAAAAATCCAAGATGGCTACGTGTCCGACCTTGGTTATTATTATAGTAGGGAAAATTTTTATTTATAAATAGAAAGGTTAAAAACGTCAAGCGCCGGTTATTATTATAGTAGGGAAAATTTTTATTTATAAATAGAAAGGTTAAAAACGTCAAGCGCCGGTTATTATTATAGTAGGGAAAATTTTTATTTATAAATAGAAAGGTTAAAAACGTCAAGCGCCTGTGATCATTATGTTAGCAAGGAGAAAAGTGATAACTTTTATATTATTAACAATTTATAAGGTACATGTATTTTGATTACTGTATTTCCTTTTGTCAGGTCACTATGACAAGTGTATAGCTCAGCTGATATCTAAGACCAAGGACATGTCTGCAGTGGCTGGTAGCATCTTCTCTCATCTGGCCGTACAGAAGAAAAACATCCTCATCACCATGCTCATCGTAAGAATCGTCGACTTTAAGAAAAAAAATTGTAAAAAAAAAAAAAAAAAATTCTCAATACAGAATTCCTTCAGTTTAATAATAGTTTGGGTTTTTTTTAAAGTATAATTTTCTCAATGAAAAATTACAAAATAACTGCTGACTCAGTTCATAGTTCCAAATTAATTAGAATTTTTTTTTATTTAATCAAATGATGCTATAGTAATGAGAGAATAAGGGGATTTTAGAATTCCAGCAAAAAAAATCTGATAATTTTGATATATTTATTATAGGACCACTTGTGCAAGAAAGAAGCGGGTCTGACCGATGAGCTGGCCTCCATAGGGCATACTGACTGAGCTCACCACACTGAACAATGCAGAGAATGCTAAAGTAGCTCTCAGGGCTAGACAGGTATTACAATGCCTCTATAAACACTGTCATTATAATCATACAAAACCGTCATTTTTATATGCATATCAATCTCACTGCCTACTAGATCTCTGAAAAAACATAGGAGTGGATCAAGGTATTTTTAGGTGATGCAATTTTTATGCAATTTTTCCCCATTCACAAAAGTATGTTTTAAAGTGGATATTTTGTTTAATACCATGATAAATGTACAATGAACTGTAATATGTGTATATAGTAAAACTCAGTGATAACGAACTGGAACCTGTGAAATTACTTCGCTATATTCGTAATTCATTATATATGTGTAAGAAATTCGTTTAAGTTAAACAGCTGGGTATTCTAGATAACTTTGCTATATTCACAAATTTGCAATATCTGTGTTCATACTAAACGAATTTTGCTGTATTGTGTATAATTTGATTTTATCATTTGTTTTAGGTGTTGATAGCAGCTCACACACCCCCTTATGAACTTCGACATAACCAGATGGAATCCATCTTTCTGTCGGCCATTGATATGTATGGACCAGAATTCAATCCTGAAAATCTACAGGTCTGGTAGATTTTTCCTATCTTTTCATTTTAACATTCGAAAATCTACACTTCAGACAAATTTCTCTCACAACCTTTATATCTTAATTAACATATTTATGTTTTTGTCAGTCAACAGAAAAAAAACAGCACTGGAAAGTAAAAATTAAGAATTAAACAAATTTAATCCCATGTCTTCTAGTTCAATGTTAAAACTTTTTTGTACATGTATTTAGAAGAGAAAGGCTTATTTGGATTTCTTGTATGACGTAAGCTTTCAAGGTTATAAAAAAAATTGTAGATTCTCTGGAATTCATTCTTTTGTTTTTTCCATACTTAGTGTTTTGCATGAAAATTTTTTGTGAACGTCTTGGTTTAGATTTGTTGTGTTTGTTACACAATTTTCAGTATTCTATATAACAGTTCATGAAAATTTGTAAAATAGTCTACAAATGGGCTTTAAGTTAGAGAATCAGTTATTTATAAAGTCTACTACAGACGCAGCAGTCAGAAAATGTTCTGTTTTAGAACTTTAAAGCCACTATTTAGTTACAATCACAATCAAGAATTCTATCCCATTCCAAGTATATACATAACCGATGATAACCGTATTTATTTCCATATGTAAAAAAAATAATGCACCATATAGAAGAGAGTTCAAGGGTTATTGGAAATAATTCAATAATTGACTATTAATTTGTGTCTTCAGAAAATCATCCATTCAGAGACTGCCATTTATGACATCCTACAGGAATTCTTCTGGCACACTAACAACCTGGTCAGATCTGCTGCCTTAGAGGTGAGAACAAGGCAGTGTCAAGAATTGATTTTCATTTTGACAGTTTCATGAACCCAGTCTCAAGTTTACACCAGGTTTCTGAGAAAGTCTTTTCTTCATTTCTTTATTTTAAGGTTCTTTATTCTTCTGGTCAATCACATGAAATTTTGCTTTAAAGATTATGACTTCTTAAAAGAAATTCAAATGATGTTTTACAATTTTGCTATAAAAAATCTGACAAATTTGACCCTTAAACTTGACAATTTTATATTAAATAGTAATTAATTATGTAGTTGAGAGTTATCTCTCTTAGCATGAGAGTCTGAGAACTTTCAAGAAAATCTTATTTCTTTAGAACTGTATTAATTTTTTTCCTTTTACTGGGTACATTCAAATGTCAACTTTTATAAGACCTTTTCTTAGACTTCCAAAAACCTTGAATCTTATGAAGATGAATAAAATGAAAATTATTGCATGAAAAAATTTCATTTTCAAGCTTCATTTTGATACATTTTAAATTAATATTAATTTATAGAGTTATCCTTCTTGGCTGAGGATCAGATATCCTTAAAGGATTTTTTCTTCTCACTGCACTTTGAATAAACAGATTTTGTAAATGCTTTAATATTCTATAGGTGTACATAAGGAGAGCCCACATTGCTTATGAGGTGAACTGTCTCCAGCACAGAGAACTGAACGGGGACATGTCAATGGTGGAATTCAGGTTCCTCCTCCCCAGGTCACACCCCAACAGGTAAAAGATAATGAAGACATGTAGACAAGTCAAAATGAATAATAAAAATATTTAGATAAAAATAAATTTTAAAAATAGTGAATGGGTATTCAGCATTAAATTTTTCTGTTTTCTGGTCATTTAAGCAAAAAGTATACTATTTCTTGCACAATGTACATTACTAAGAGCAAGGGGGTACTATAAACCAACTTTTATTCGCGTGCGAGAAATTTTCGCAAAGTTCCCAAAAGCTTCATTATCGCAAATATTTCTTGCTGCAAACTGGTTCTTAAAGTCTATGTGTCTATTAACAAGAGACCCTAAATAGGTTTGATTGCTAAAATTAATCGTCGTGAACTAGTTTATCCCGGAAAATTGCGAAATAAAGTTGTCGCGAATAAAAGTTGGTTTACAGTATCTATTTTATACTTGATTATAACTGTAAACCAATTAAAACCAGTGGATTGTTTTGTTAATTTTCAGGCTGATGGTGATGCGCTATGACAGCAGTGACAAGGTGTCCGGTCTGTCTGACCCTGAGGCCCACATCGATCAGCTAGAGGAACCCCTCACCTGTCAGAGAATGGGCATCATGGCCTCATTCAACTCCATGGCAGAATTCGAAATGTGATTAGTGTTTGACTAAATGCTGGAGACTGAAAAGAAAATCTCCTCTTGATATTATATATAAATCTGATAAGTCAGCACCGTTTCAAAATGTTTCATTTCATAAAAGATTATTTATTTTAAAAATGCTCTATTTCTAGCCACTTTGAGCAGGTGTTGGAGTGCTTTACGGTGGAGTCAGACAGCCCACCCAGCAGTCCCACTATACTGGCCAAGAGTCCAGCCGGCAATGAGGACTCCATCTCTCTACATGTCAGTGTACATTCCTGTACCTTTTGATAGAAAAAAAAATGAACAGAAAGGAAAAAGTTTTTTAAAAGTCTCCATCTCTCTACATGTCAGTGTAACTTATTGTACCTTCTGATATAAACAAAAAAAAAACAAGCAGAAATGAAAAAAAGTTTAAAAGGGCTTTTTAAAAATTTACTAGCTTGCCATCACCTGCTGCGTATGTATCAGTACAACATCTTACTCTATGAAACCCCTCATGGTGTGCCTAATAAATGATGTAAATTATCCATTAAAGGTGCCAGAGAACCAATGTTGATTATTTTTTTTTACAGAGTTCTTCAGATCCAGATGAACCTATTCATATCATCAACGTAGGAATTAAATTCAGCAAAAAGGAGAAGTATGACGACAATGCCCTGGCTGTCAAGTTCCAGGATTTTTGTAAAGAGAGGGTATGGACTTAAATCACAAAATTTTTAAAGCTGCAATTTTCTGTTATACATCTATTTTGAGTTTAATTTAAGCTAATTGAATGTTGTGTTTTGTGATATTTTTAGGAGCAATATTTGTGTGAGAAGGCCATCAGAAGAATCACCTTCCTAGTCTACTGTAGGGTAAGTCTCAAAATGAATGTTTTCAATGTGATTAAACTTAAAGTAATTTGTGTAAAAATTTCAGTACAGATTTTTTTTTGAAAGCACTGCAATATGTGTAGTATATACATAATATTAGTTTGTATTTTATTACTCTTTCAGAGAAGTTCACCAAAATACTTCACATATCGTGCCAAGTTTGATGTAAGTATAGCACTACATGATAATAGAAAGAGTAATTTACTTAAAAAAGACAGTTGTAAATAGAAAATAGAAGCAAAGTTTTCATATGCTTGTATATCTCTATTTTTTATGAAAACTCTACAGAGAATTGTAAAAACTATTGTTTATTTTTTAGTTTGGAGAGGACAGGATTTACCGACATTTAGAGCCCGCCCTGGCCTTCCAGCTGGAGATTAACAGACTGAGGAACTTTGACCTGGAAGCCATACAGACCAACAATTACAAGATGCATCTGTATCTGGGAAAAGCTAAGGTACATGTAGAATTAAATTCAGTTCTGATTAAAGGGAGAGAACTCTTACAGTTTCAAATATTCATATAAATGCCTACCTCATGTGTAAACAATTCAAATGTTTGAAAATTAGTTAATACAAAAAATGTAAATATGTCTTATCTTATCGAAATCATATTATTTTAAGCTTGTTGCTTTACAGATTGAAATTTGTGGGAAAATAAAGTTGATTGAAAAATCGCATAATGTTGCAGACTTTGTACAATGTTGATTGTATCCAACAATCTTAAAAGGGACATAACTCTGTAAATTGCCTTCTAAATGTTCTTATTAATTGTCTGGACAATCAATATCTTGGTTACCTGCATTATAAACTTATCTGTTTATTGTCCAACAGGTGGCAGCAGGACAGGAAGTGACGGATTACAGATTCTTTGTGAGGGTCATCATCCGGCACTCTGACCTTGTCACCAAGGTAACGTTGCACACAATGAATAGGCACAGAAAAAGTTATTCTTTTCAAAGAGAAATATGAATTTGTTTTGATGCAAGAACAGTTACAAGATATTGTCTGATCTGTACCATTTTGTGTACATGCATCTTGCACTTCTTTATTTTCCTCCTCTATATTTAAAATTCTACAATAAGCAAAAAATCCAGTGAACTCAGGGTTTTTTGTCAAAGATGTATATCATTTATTTTTGTATGAGATCTCTGAACTGTTGTGTTTTGGTTTCCTACAAAAACATGCCTTAATTAAGAAGCACTGCACTGACAAAAATTTTATGTTTTTATTTTTATTTCATTAGGAGGCGTCTTTTGAGTACTTACAAAATGAAGCAGAGAGAACCCTCTTGGAGGCCTTGGATTCATTAGAAGTGGCATGCTCCCACCCACTGGTGAGTTAGAGCTGATAAACTCATGTAAATTCACTTATTTCCATTGATTTAAATTTTTTTGTTTTGAGAAAAAAGTATTGCGATTAAATAAACAAATATGGTACTGGAGTTTGAAAGTTCGAATTTTCTGGAGGACATGATTTTTAGGTCACCTGAGTAAACTCAGGTGACCTATTGCTATCTGTTTTCGTCCGTCGTCGTGCGTCGTGCGTCGTTCGTCGTGCGTTAACATTTGAACATTTTCAGCTTCTTCTCTGCAACCACTGAACCAATTTCAACCAAATTTGGCACAAAGCATCTATGGGTGAAGGGGAACAAAAATTGTGAATTTCATGATCCCTGCCCCCCTGGGGCCTGAGGGGTGGGGCCAAAACCACTAAAATTAATGCAATCTTTAAAAATCTTCTTCTTTACTCCTGGACATCAAGCAGTCAAACTGTTTGCATGATTGTAATCAGCAATGAGTCCTCTACCAAAATTGTGAAATTCATGGCCCTGGGGTCAGGGGTTCTAGTGCTAGGGTGGGGCTAAATAAGAAGTTATTGAAAATGCATTATTTCTTTGAAAATCTTCTTCTCTGCTCCTGGGTATTAAATAAACCAACTAAGTACATAGTTATGATGAGCAAGAGTGCCTCTACCAAAATTGTGAATTTTATGGCCCCAGGGTCAGGGGTTCTGGTGTTAGGGCGGGGCTCTATTGATTATATAGTGAAAATACATGAATTCTTTGAAAATCTTCTTCTCTGCTCCTGGGTATTAAATAAACTAATTAAGTACATAGTTATGATAAGCAAGAGTGCCTCTACCAAAATTTTGAATTTTATGGCCCCAGGGTCAGGGGTTCTTGTTTTAGGGTGGGGCTCTAATGATTATATAGTGAAATGCATGAATTCTTTGAACGTCTTATCCTTTGCTCCTGGTTAATATGCTAATGATCTAATTACATATTTAAGGCCAGGATTTATTTTATTTTCAGTTTTACAAACCCTCCGCTCAAGGTTTTGAATTTTCAGAAAAAAATAAAACAATTTTTTTCTTTCCGATGTCAAATTTGAGTCGGGGATGAGATTTCAAATTTACGAACTCGCACTTCCGGTTTTACGATGAAACGGTGGGTAAATATAGCTAGATCTGAGAAGATATCTTGGTTAAGTGTAAAATTCATCGATAAGAGTGCCATTCAAAACGTTTCACTCGTTCAAAGGACAAATAAAATGCTGACGACTTTGTTGCACATTAACATGCTGGTGAGATAATTATGTATTCGTTTCAAAAAGTAGCTGTAAATTATTTTCCTCCCCCAGGTTTTTAGATAGAATGTTCTATCTTTAAATGATATTGTCCTACGGACCCCGGTTTAACGATAGAATTCGTTCCGTGTATTCGTAATGTAGCAAAAGAAACATGGGCGATAACTCGTACTCACTATAACTCAGTGCATTTACTAAGAACAATCTAGAGAGTTCCGAATGTAAACATGGAAGGTAAATTTGAAGCGAGAGAAAAACGTTGAGAAAATTAATTGGATTTCGTCTTTAGATGGATTCTTTACTGGATAAAAGGCATAAGCAATCTCAAAAAGGTTTGTTTTGATTAATTTGGTAGTTATTTCCAGTGCAAATCCTTTTATATTTTTCAATCTGTTTCGGAGCGGATCAGCTCCGATTTGCTACATTGCAAGTATATGGGACATATTCTAACTGTGGTGAGGGCTTGTACCGAGACACAGTTAGATCATTCTAACTACCAGGTTTTAAACTGCCCATGGTAGCTATTGCATATTTTCAGGGACATTGTTTAGGTCTCTGTTATAGCTTACAGTTAAGACCATTCTTAGAAAAGGGTTGCTTATGCATCAGATGTAAAGAATAAAACTATGGGGGAAAAAGAAATATTTGAGGAAGAAAAAACAATAACCTGAAGAAATAAAAAAAAAATTTCAACTATTAAAAGGCAAGAATATACAAATATATACAGGCATGTAGTATCATATGTTCAGCCAGAAAAATTATTTTACACTTAATTGAAAAAATGTTGACCCTACTCCCCAATACTCCCTGTCTGTTTTATGATGGAATTATAATTTTAGGCATCAAATAAATTTTAGAACAATGTTACACATTCACCTAACACATATTAAAACCAAAATCTCTGTCGAGACTGAAGCTCTTTTTAACTTTTAGCAAAGGAAAGAAAGACTTAAACAGCGGGATTAAATTTAAACAGCAATAAGTAGAATAATGATCATTGACAAAACCTTTTTGTTCTTAGTGTATTACTTGTGTGCCAAGTTATATTGAAATCAGACCAAAACTGTAGAAGGATGATTTTTAAACAATTTTA